CCCGGCAGCAGCGCTCGCCAAATCCCAGGCTGAGGAGGCAGAGGGCTCTGCCGTCTGAGGAGGCTCTGACAGAGGAGTGGGATCTGTGAGCAGCTTCTCAGGGATGCGCACAGGAGCGACAGCGGCGCGCACTAAGGCCCAAGTAGTTAAGGCTGTGATGGGTGCAGAATTCCCCAAGGAGAGCTGATATTTGAGGGTATTCCCCCACCTTTTCCCAAGTTTCTAAATTAAGAATGCCATCCTTGGGGAACCAGGGCGAACAGCGGGTGACATGAGCAAGAAGGGAATGCAATTGGGATTCAGATACTTTTGCTCCGCTAGACTTTAGCAATTGTTGCAGGAGTAGAATATATTGTTTCTGGGGAGCAGAAAGGGAATTTCCCATGATTCTACCCTGAAATTCCCTGTCCCGCCGGCGAAGCCCCGGGCTGCTTACCAAGCGCGCTTCTTCAAGTCTCATTGTTCTCTCGGGACCCGGGTCGACGGTCGTGAATTCAGGCTGCTCCTCACACGGGGCACCAGTTGTGGGGAAAGAACCCGCAATGAGACCGACGATGGACAGAAGTACAGAGACGTGCGGGTGGAGGGACTCTGCCAGATGCAAAGACCTCGAAGGTCAGGTTGTCCGCATCTTCCTTTTATTGAGGGAGACAAACAAAGCCCTATTTTGGATTTGCGTAATAAGCGGATGTGGGGGGTAAGCAATCAGTCCATAGAAAGCCTCCTTGTTCCGTCTTGACCTCTGCTTAATCTCTACTATCTGCCCTTGGCCTTCGCATGTGTTGTCCCTTTCCTAACTCCATCCTTCAGCTGTTGCCAACCGCCTTAGGTTGACACTACCAAAGTTGCTGTCCTGCTCTGATCTTTCAGAGCAGGCGCCCTACAACATTGCAATCCAGTACTGTGTCCGTACAATCTATAAGTATTTCAGTATGTATTTCTAATAGATAAGGACCTTAAAAAAACCTAAGTACAATACCATGATCGTACCCAACAAAATTAACAATAATTCCTTAATAACCTCTAGTAGCTAGCCCATATTTAATATTCTCCCTTGTTGGCCTAGAAAATGCCTTTTTAAAGTTGGTTTGTTCAAATCTGGATCCAAACAAGGTACATACATTGTGTTTGATTGATGTTTCGTAAATCTC